ATTATCATCGGTTTATCAGCATCATCTTCATTGTCGGCATAATCGACATCATCCACATCATCCACATCATTGGCATCAGCAGTAGTATCAGTAACATCGGCATCGTTCTCATCGTCAGCATCATCATTATCATCGGTTTATCAGCATCATCTTCATTGTCGGCATAATCGACATCATCCACATCATCCACATCATCCACATCATCCACATCATTGGCATCAGCAGCAGCATGAGTAGCATCAGCATCATCTTCGTCGTCAGCATCAATGGCATCATCAACATCATTTGCATCATCGCTATCATGAGTAGCCTCGATATCAGTTCGTCTGTATTTCTGGCCAGATGTAGACCTCGTGCAGGCGCGTCGTGCCGTCAACTGGGCTACCGGTGGACGCATCCTCCTGCGCCGTCTCCCGTCTAGCCGGAGACTGAGACCGGCTCGCCTAAAGCCGTTGCGGCCCGGGCGGATACGCGTAGCCAAGGCCTGGATAGTTCGGGTAGTAGAAGTTGCCAAAGGAGGCTGGGCCCGCGGGCACTCGGCCCAACGCCCCGAGGCCGGGCGTCAGCTGACTGCCGGCGCGGTCCACGTAGGACAGGATGGAGCCCGGCCAGGCCTGTATGGAGCCCAGTTGCGGTGCCCACAGCGGCTGATAGGCGTTGCCTGGCCAGAATTGGCCGGTTTTCGCTTCAATCTCGGCCGACATCGGCGAGCCAAACACCGGGTTGCCTAGCGACGGAGCAATGGAAGTTGTCAGGCAAAAGACGAGAAGACAGACGGAGCCACATGCGGTCTGGAACATTGTGACACAAACAGCTGCCCTCTTCTGCCCGACCCGGACACGACGGCGTCTATTTATTCGGACAAGATCCGATCTTGCCTCCCTCCCTCCCTCCGATCGTCAACTCAGCTCACTCTCTGATCCACGACCGGCGAGCCTGCCAAACAGGGGGGGTGGTCGTAACACATTTTCGCACATGTACAGCTCAGACTCCGGCCGCCCATGCCGCATCGGCATTCGCTGATTCGGCCAGAAAGTATCCACCCCCACCCGGCCATCACACATCTCTGCGTTAATCCAGTATTGTGTTTGTTTGCGTGTGTGTGTGTGTGTGTGTGTGTGTGTTGGCCGGGGCAATCTGCAGGTTTGGTGTGAGTAAAGTCGGTCCGGTGCATCCGATGACGACACATACAGCAGGGCGGTTTAGACAGATTTTATGCATTGTCATTTGTAACTTTAATGGCTTTCCTTTCCGACACTTCAAATGTTGCAGGTTATGCAAAGTCGCGAAGGGTGTGACCAATTGGGCCTCTCGTAGGCCTGCCAACAGCACTACTCACATTCAAAATAAGTAGGTTCACGGACAAGCTGAAATTGTTGAATATGTCATTACAAGGCCTGTTCTTCTCGGTTTGGACAAGCAGTCTATCGGACGTTCGTTTTTTAAGCACTACTCACAGCTTTACTCGCACCGAGTCCTGCCACACGCCTTCAGGAGCCTCTTGTTCCAGGTCTTGTGGCTGCAGAGGCTGGCAATGCAGAAACTCGTCGAAAAGGCTAAACGTCAAGCAGAACTTCGTAAATCGGCCCCCTCGAAGGCGTTGTGATTGTCGATTCGTGAGTGGACTCTCGTCTGTCCCGTCATGATAGACATTGTCAGCACATAAAACTCCCACAGTAGACTTCACTAAGCGCCAAGACAAGAATCCGTAGAACCGTTTGATACAGAATTGTGTGATTTAAGGTATGAAGACCAAAATGATGTGACCTTTAGTGTGTTTGAAGTCTCCTTTCGTTGCATAGAAGTTGTTTGACCTTTTTTTCGCAACTTGGTCACATTGGTAGGAAGACTTACAGGAGTCTTCATCATTTCCAAAGTCGGACCGTGGACATGGCACATTCCCAGACGTTTCGCCGGCATCGTAAGTGAGTTTCGCCATTCTTAGCACCGTTCGCCAACTCGTCAAAGAGACAAGTGAAGCCGATCCTTTGACCAAACGTGTGCTAAACAGTTGTGGTATCTCCCCTTCATACATCACATTTCCTAAATCATCCTATCACACCTTCCCTGTCACAATTTCTACTGTGCTTCACTTGTCTCTTTGACGAGTTGGTGAATGGTGCTAAGAATGGCGAGACTCACTGATGATGCCGGCTATGATGCCGGCGAAATGCCTGGTAATGTACCACTTCCACGGTCCTACTCTGGAAATGATGATGCATACAATGGACTCCGGACTGTGTGCGTTCCTCTAAGTCTTCCAACCAATAGGACCAAGTTGTGAACACAAGGTCAAACAACTTCTATACAACGAGAGGAAACTGCGACCACACAAAAGGCCATACCATCTTGGTCTTCATACCGTCGAAGCAACTACTGCTCTGTAGATATAAAGAGAAACTTGGTTTCGATGAATCTCCTGAGATAACATTGTTTTAATGTTCCACTTCATCAGTAGATCACCCAACTTTATTGCAAGCTGACAAGAAGGCAAAAAGGGCAAATGAGTAGATTTGTCTAATTGTCTATACCGCACCAGATAGCAAACTCACCTCATCTTGAAGATATGAAGAACAAGATGTTGTAGCCTCTGGTGTGGTCGCAGTGGGTTGACCTCGTTGTCGTAACTTGGTCTTGTTGTCAGGGCGACTAGTCCGAAGTCGTCTACCAGAGTAGTCGCCATGATTCCCAGCATCAGACAGTGGACTTGTCTCTTTGACGAGTTCTTAGGTTGGTGCGGCGAATGGCAAAATTGACTGATGATGCCGACTACGATGCCGGCGAAACGTCTGAGAATGTACCAAATCGACTGTCTGATGCTGGGAATCATGACGACTACTCTGGCAGAGGACTTCGGACTAGGTGCGTTCTACATAGTCGCCCTGACAACAAGACCAAGTTGTGATAACGAGGTCAACTCACCTCATCTTGTTACAGACAATTGCTATGCAATTGGCTCCTAATCCTAATGGACACTTGTTTTGAAGTAGTATATGCGTGAGTCTATCAATCTCTTAGTCTCTGCGGTTTACATTTGCTAGGCGCTAATATATCTTTTGATATATCTCAAAGCTAAACAAGCTTCTGGATGAATCGTTTTTCCACATGAACCGAAAACCGTTTAACTGTCTAATCTACAAAGAGAGTCTAAAACTTCTCGAAAATAGGAGATTTCAGATTAAAATACACCTTCCTCTTAACACACTGTTCTAGGGACTCTTTTCATCAACAATTCGTCAGTCCATTTGGATAGTTGACATGATGCTAGCATATACGAAGAAAAGTTGGGTTTCGAGGAATCTCCTGTTTCATAAATGTTGAGCTTACTTCCATTTCGAGTGGAAGTGTTGCGTGAAGAGATTCGACGGTCGGTTCCACCAGAAGATGGCGGCCAATTACTCTTGACCAGCTGTCGATTGGCTTGACTCATTAGCTTAAATTTTGCTGTAAAGATGTTACCTCGCTCTGAAGATGTTCGTCAAATGACGCACGAAAGCTTAGCATCTTTTCACGGGAATCGAAGAAGACTGCCTCAGAAACAGCGTCAGT